CCTATTTTCCCGTCGAAAAACATCCGATAGAGGATCAAGATCAACGCGCGCGCGCGCTCAAACCCGCACATATATCGATCTACAGAGTACAGACTGGACTATCGCATGCAGTGTTAGAGGATTGGCAGATTAAGTCACCACACAATATAACATATAATACGAGATCTTTATAAGCTAGGACTAGAGTACTCTAGCATTCACTTAAAGTTAGTTAGACAAACTTTTGAGGTAGCTAGGGATGACTGAACAAACAGATAGATACAAAAAGGAAGATATATGGGAAAATTAACAAGGACAACTTACCAAACGTGCAACCCCACGATCGAGCAAATACACACGTACAATTTGTCAAGTTCGTTCATATTTATGTCTCATTTAGATGGTGCAAGCTGCACAACCAGTACTTGCGGATCCTAATCCAGAAAAGTAGTATACATATATGCATCTTGATACCTTATTCTATTTTGTACCGGCAAGATAACCAGCTTTCCCGCCTCTCATTGTCACTCGTTAAATCAGATGTACGTACCTCTCATCGTGCAGCATCTATATATGGATGGATCTATCAGAATATAATTATGCATTAGCAGAATCAGAAAAGTGACACACAAGCAGGTATGTCTATGTGGCTAGCTAACCGGCCTGTACGTGTGCGGTATGTGTGTTCACGTACGTGTAAACGCACCTCGACGACCTCCACTAGGCAGTGTGCCCTGATTGGCCACTAGTGGAGGACCTACCATGAATGGAACCCAGAAGCATGCATACTAGCTACTCCTCTGTGGTGGAGTAGTTCAGTTCGATTACTTTTTACTCTACCTAAATCATGGTTTATGCTCCAACTTGTGCAGGGGACTGAGGCCAAAGATGACAATCACCATCTTCATCAAGGTCATGGGGCTCGCATTCCTCGAGTACGTGCACCGTTAATTATTTGACCGTCCGTGCATACCACATAACTCTTTCTAGATTACTGGCTGATGTGTTGTGTTGCATGGGACTCTCAGGCCCGTCATGGACCAGAACCTGTACTTCATGGGCGCGAAGCTCACCTCGGCGGGATTCGCGACGGCCCTGGTCAACATACTGCCGGCCGTCACCTTCGTGCTGGCCCTCATCCTGCGCATGGAGAAGGTGCGGCTGCGGAGCCTGCACAGTCAAGCCAAGATCGCCGGCACGGTCCTCACGGTGGCCGGCGCTGTGCTGATGGTCCTGTACCACGGCCCCATCGTGCAGTTCCCGTGGACCAAGGGCCAGCACCACGCCACCGCCAGTGGCCAGGGCGCCGGCGGCGCGGCCGCCGCTCGGGACTGGCTGAACGGGACCATCATGGTCATCGTCGCCTGTGTGGCCTGGGCGTGCTTCTTCATCCTCCAGTCCAACACCCTCCAAAGCTACCCGGCGGAGCTGTCACTCACCGTGCTCATCTGCGGCATGGGCTCGCTCATGAGCGGCGCCATCGCCCTCGTCGCCGAGCGCGCCAACACCCAGGCATGGGTCATCGGCTTCGACACCCGCCTCTTCACCGCCGTTTACGCCGGCCTAGTGTGCTCCGGCGTGGCTTACTATGTGCAGGGTATCGTGTCGAGGCAAAGGGGCCCTGTATTCGTGACGGCCTTCAACCCACTCTGCATGATCGTAACCGCCGTCATGGGCTCCATCATTCTCAAGGAGGAGATCAATCTCGGAAGGTACGTACATTAGTGCTTCCAGCCACCATATATATCAAGATGGATGAAGATGTATACTTTAGTGCAACAATACTAATTATCTCATTTCATTGTTTCTTTCAGTGTGATTGGTGCAGCCATCATCGTGGGAGGCCTCTACTTTCTCATCTGGGGCAAGAGCAAGGATGAGATTAACAAAGTCTACGACGCCAGCGTCAAGGGCGCCGGCGAGCTGCCCTTAACCTCGGTGACCAACGGCCACCGCCACGGCAAGCAGCACGAGCTCGGCAACAGCAACGGAAGCCATGTTTTGGACGTCAAGACGCCGACGACCAATGACCACTACTTGCCAAGGGATCTACCGGAGTAGGCGAATAGCTACGTGTTATACGTTCACCCATCTTCCATCGACCAGTATGTCTAGCTTTTTACTGGTAATGCATGGCCCATCGATCGATCATGCATGAAGACGAATTCTGTTGTCCATTTTCTTCTTGTCAGCTTCTCTCTAGCGACGATCCTCTCATGTGACTATGTGAGACAGTGAGAGAGTGAGAAGTGCTAATTATAACATCCCTTTTGCCGATCCATGTGGATTTTTTGGAACTTGGGTCTACGCACACCTGATTAGGCTGCATGTAACGGGTAGTATCATACGTTAATATCATGCATATGATACTACTGTAAGATACTACCTCCCTAATGCATAATATCGTATATCAGCATATAAATGACTTTATTTGCAGGAAACATACAGTATCATGATATGATACTCAACTATCTCTTTCTTCATTTAATTCTATGTCACCTCATTAAAATTGACTAGTTGGCATGCATGATACTAGCTATGATACTCCCATTACAATCATTCTTAAACATTTAAATTAAAAATGTAGTAAAGAATAGTCAAACATTTCAGATTTTTCAATAAATATGATCTAGTGTTGTACTCACATGCAAAGTTTCACAAAGAAATGACTTCTATGAACTTTTGGGCCAAGAAAAATTGTAACTACAAAAACTTCAACAGTAACCTTTACACAGTACCGATTCCATTTTTGTTTTTGCCCAGAATATTTTCGAAACATGACACATGAATACAATAGTAGACCAAGTTTGTTACAAAATTCGGAAATGTTTGACTTTTTTGTTATTTTTTTTTCAGTTTCGAGTACATGTGCACCCAGGTTCCATTGAGTATTTTTGCCCCTGTGATGGTTATACTTATACAGGATGCTAGTCACTTCTAAGTTGAGCACAGATGCATGGTTAGATGGAAACGGGGATTTACCAAATTCTGAACTTGGGCATACAGGTGGATGATGTGGAGGGTAAGGTCCCATCCACAACTGATTTTTTTATGGCGCCCCATCGCCTTGAATTACATAACATGGTTGTCTCGAGCAATCGTTCGATTTAGTTTTGTTTTTGTTTTGAGAAACAATCGTTCGATTTAGTGCAAGGAAGGTAAGAATGAGAATGGGCTGAGGGTACCCATTGGGCCGGGGCATTAGCATGGCCCAAAGAATTCAAGGACAATGGATCTTTTGCGTCGGCTTCGTAAAGAAACTAAGGCAGGGGATCCAGTCTCCGTTAGCCGAACAAGACGGAAGGATCCATCCAGATTTTGTTGCCTTGGGCTGTGATATGCCATCACTTTTTTGGGGGGCGGCGAGAAAAGGAGTTTACTTCCATATTACAATAGCATATACCTTTGCATCTTCAGTTCAACAGCACTCCAAGGCCCATGACCAGGGGCAAGCTCAAGCAGATCGCCAAATGCTGCGACCTCAACGTGGACGCCATCCTCGCTCAAGCTTCGTCCTCCTCCACGGTCGGGACTGGCTGCTCTGGCCAATCCGACGGCTCCTCCGCTTCTTCCATGGGCGCACACCTTGTTGCTGATGTCTAGATGCCTTTCAGATATGCTCTTGCACTTCCCAGGGTTAGCTGGCATCTTCTATGCCCTTCTTTCCATTAGTTTTAGTCCCAGAGCATGTTTAGTTTCTGTTAGCCATGCTCATTGCCAGTTTGTTGGCTCAGTCATGTATTTGGTCAGTGTCTCTTTCAGTCTTAATGTTATGCTAAGTCTAGCTTCTAGGCCAAGTTGTATCCCCTGTTCTGCATCAATGTTATCCACTCTATGCTACTGTTTGTTGCATCCTCCCTCTCATGCGCATGTTTTTTCTCTTATGCACGGGCAGTATCACCATGATCTATGAAGCTTATTGATTGGAATGTTCGTGACCTAGGTGATGAGAATAAGTGTTCTTTGGTCCGCGATGTTCTAACTTCCTGTCGGCCTAGCATTGCTTGTTTTCAGGAAACAAAACAGGAAGCAACTCCCACTACGAAGCTCGGGAGCTTCTTGGCCACCAACTTCGACGACCATGCGATCATGCCCTCCACGGGCTCCTCAGGCGGCCTGTTAGTTGCTTGGGATTCCTCTGTCTACTCTGGGCAGGTCCTTGCATCACACATATTTCACCTCACTATCAAATTCTCATCAACAACGTCAGAAACTGTTTTTGTTGTCACTACAGTTTATGCCCCCTGTGTACAACAGGAAAGACAACTTTTCTTGGATGAGATCAATGCTGCGGCAGCCCTGATATCTGAACCATGGATTGTTATCGGTGACTTCAATATGTACCGATTCAAAGAGGAGAAATCGAGAGCCAGAGTCAACTGGGCCATGATGGAGATGTTTAATGACTGGATTAGAGCTCATGGGCTTGATGATATGGACATATGCAACCGAAAGTTCACCTGGTCGAACAAGCGAGTGGATCCTACCATGGCACGGCTTGACAGAGTGCTGATCAACACTGCCTGGTTGTTATCCTTCTCTCAAACCTCAGCGATGGTGACACCTTCTGTCACATCAGATCATGTGCCTCTCTTGGTCCAGTTTGGCAACACTAAGGTGAAAAGCAATCTCTTCAGGATGGAGAATCACTGGCTGCATTTAGAAGAAACAAGAGCTATCATTCAAAACTGCTGGAACCAAAGCACCCGAACAACTTGCTCGGCTGCTTCTCTCTTTAACCTGAAGTTCAGACGTATCCGCGCTGCTCTACGGAGTTGGAAGAGGAATAGAGCCAGCTTGGATATGCTCGTTTCAAACAATAAACATGTGGTACTATACCTTGACACTGTTGAAGAACGGCGACCCCTTTCTCTGTTAGAGAGGGTGCTTAGAGTTTTTGCCACACAAAAAACAGAGCTGCTCATCTTGTGGCAAACTGCTGCGTGGAAGCGAAGAGCTAAACTACGTTGGTGCATATCTGGAGATGAGAACTGTAACTTCTTCCATGCTGCTGCTTCTGGCCATGCTAGGAGAAACAAAGTCAGGGTACTCGTCAAAGATGGAGTGGAGTTTTTTGAAAATCATCAGAAGCTTCAACTAGTAACTGAGTACTTCTTTGCTCTCCTGGGTCAGCCATCACATTCTGAACCTACAGTACAGCTTGATCAAATATATGAGCAAGTCGACCTATCATGCCTCGCAAGGGATTTCACTTGGCAGGAAATTGTCGAAGCTATCAACCATTCTCCCAACTACCGCAGCCCCGGCCCGGGTGGTTTCACAAATGAATTTTACAAAGCTTTTCACGGTGTCATCAAGGACGACTTGCAATTCTTCTCCCAGTTGTATCAGAATCAGTTGGACATGTCTGGCATCAACCTGGCCCACATCTCTCTCTTGCCCAAAAAAGACACACCACTTGAACTAAAGGATTTCCGGCCTATATCCATAGTGCACAGCGTGCCCAAGCTTGCAAGCAAGGTCCTAACCAAGAGGCTTCAAGCCCAAATCCTGAGCCTCATCCACTCATTGCAATATGGCTTTATCAAGGGCAGGGCCATCGTCGAAATTTTTGCCTTAGCTACATAAGAGGAAATTGCCCATGGTAGCCCTTAAGTTGGACTTTCAAAAAGCCTTCGACTCGGTCAGCTGGTCTTGCCTGCATAGTGTCTTGGTTGCCTGTGGCTTCCCTCAGCATTGGATCAGTTGGATTGAGTGCTTACTTTCTTCGGCAACATCTCGAGTCTTGCTAAATGGGGAACTGGGTGACTGTTTTGCAAATAAGAGAGGGTTCAGGCAGGGCGACTCCATCTCGCCATATCTTTTCATTCTGGTGGCTGATGTTTTGCAACGACTTTGCTGCTCCGCCTTTGATTGTGGCAGTTTGATTCACCCTCTTGGTTCGGACAGGATGTTCCCAGTTCTACAATACGCTGATGACACCTTAATCCTCTTTCACGGCACCGTTCAACAAGCTACTATCATCAAGCATATCCTGTCAGACTTCGTTGGGTTACAGATCAATTACCACAAAAGCACTCTCATCCCAATATGCATAGATAACTCTACCACTGATGAGATCGTTCGTGTGTTTGGCTGCTTAGCGTCAAGTTTCCCCTGCACGTACTTAGGCTTACCCCTCTCTTTGCACAAGATTAGACATGACTTGCTACTCCGAGTCATTCACAAAGTGGACAAGAGGTTATCGGGATGGCTGGCTACTCTTTTGTCTTGGGGCGGCAGGCTAACGCTGATCAACTCTGTCCTGGCTAGCATCCCAAGTTACTTCATGACATGTTTCCGCTGGCCTAAAGAATCCATCCATAAGCTTGAAAGTTTGTCGAGATCTTTCCTATGGCAAGGTGCGAGTACAGCAAAGGGAGGCCAATGCTTAGTTGCCTGGCACTACGTCACTATGCCATGATCTGCTGGTGACCTGTGTGTTAGAGACCTATCTGCTCACAACTAGGCCCTGCTGACAAGCTTTACAACCAAGGTTCTTCAACATTCATGCGTGCCCTGCTATCAATGGTTTGCCCAACAATATTGCCACGGCTCTGTGCCCAGGAGGAGTTGTGCTCGTGACACTGCGATCTGGAGTGGTTTCAAGCAATCCATCCCCATCGTTCTAGCCTCTTCAGGATGCTCTTTAGGTTCTGGGAAGTTTATTTCTTTCTGGCACGACTGCTGGCTTCCAGCAGGACGACTCAGCTCTACTCTGCCTACTCTTTACACTTTTGCACGGGATCAGGACTGCTCCGTGGCCTCTCAACACCCCCAGGAATCATGGCAACCACAACTTCATCCAAACGTGTCAGTAACAGCCATGTGTGAACTTCAACTACTTCTCTCTTTTCTAGCTCCTGTCACGCCAACATCAGAAAGTTCAGACTCCAGGGTTTCTGCGATCTACAACAAGGCCATCACTACAGCCCATGTCTACGAGCTACTCACTTTCCGCGGTGTGTTCTGTGCTTATGGTTCTTGGATTTGGGACAGGATCATCCCCCTCAAGCATCGTGTCTTCTTATGGCTGCTGTTCTAGGATCGGTTAAACACTC